ACTGTAAGCATAACGCCTCCTTCCAGTATTGCCTCGGCTGTGACAGGTACAATATAACAGCTTCTTATGCTATGGTCAAGGTTATGAACCTCAGAACAAATTTGTTTCTATGTAAGTGATTAAAAGTATGAAAAAGATCAAGGGAATAGTGCCAATGAAGCAAAGAACTGCATAGTAACAGACGGGGCGTGTGGATTTTTGTGTTTTACAGTCCCATGAAGCTTCTCAATAGACACAATGAGGTGTGGTATGTTGCTGAAGGGGAGCCAGTTTGCACCGTCCCTCAAAACCCCCCCACGGGCAGCCCTAAACCTCAGCTTTGATCCTTTGTATATCAAGGTATGATGGGATGTGTTTCATTTGGGGGTACATGTACATGAGAGTTGGTAGAGGGAAGCCAGGTGGAGAGTGCAAAGTGGGTGGGGATTTGGGAGAGTGGAGTATGGGTAGGACTTTGAGAAGTGGAGGATAGAGTGGAGAATGGAGAGATGGTGGGAGGTCAGCAAAGAGAGGGGGATGGAAGAACGTGCATTTTAAAGCACAAGATTCACAGATTAGGCTAAAGGAGCATTTACTTGATCACCATGGTAATGAGATCAGAAGAAGGATAAAAGAGAAATACATGAAAGAGTAAATTAATAAATGAAGGATAAACAGGAGGAAGCAAAAGAAAATTCTCAAACGATTTAAATGAAACATATGAATATTCAGTTTAATGACATGTTCAACGTTTATTTGCTGGTGTGCTTTGTGTGTATCCAGTGCTGAGCTATGGTAACTACTCATTGCCCAAATGTCCTCAGTGAATTCCCAACACCGTGTACTGTAATTACAGTAAGTAAAATCATGTTGCATTTCCCAGACCTGTTCTCCTTATCCAGAAGAAGATGCCAAAAGAAAATTCTGCTTTCCCTTAGTGAGAGAGAGGAGCTGGGAAGAGCTGGATTTGACCTGACTGGAACCTGCCTTGCTCTGAGGTGCTCTCCACATCCAGACCTGATCTCCTTCTTCTTCCCGTCTTTTCCCTCATACATACGTCTTCATAAAATGCTATAAAAAGTGATGTAGCCAGCCTGTATTCCCCATTACAACCACATAAATCCCCCAGTTCTCAGATCTTACATGTCATGCTTCAAATAAATATAAGAAACATTATGACTCTAAAGAATTCTGGTAAAAACACTTCCATTAAGATCTGTATGGTTATGTTCTCAGACGGACTAATACAGTGTCTTTATAAAATAGATTGGTTTGGCTTTGTGTAAAAGGTGAGTTGGCAAAGGACTGCACTCCCAGGAGTCTGAGCTATGTCAGGATTCTTTTGATTTGAAGAGTAAATAGCTTGATAAATGTCTGTAATTCTCTACAGTCTTAGTCATTTTCATAGGTTCAGGTCTGTGCCTTGAAAGTGTTCTTCAATCCTGGCGCTCAATGCACAGTGTAATAGTGTATGCAGGCTTTTGAGCTCATACATTAATTTGATTTATCTGTTCATTGAATGAATGTAACAATTAAAATTACACATCAACAAATATGCTGATTTATTTGGTATGGGGTGTGGCTCTGTGGGTTCTGTCACTGATTTCATTCTGCTGGTTAGCAAGGTAGTCAAATCACCATTGGGCCCTTGACCAAGGACCTTAAATAAATCCAAATAAATGACTGCCTCTGCACTCTAACCCCAATCTTTACTGCACCTGTGTATGTGTGTCAAATAGTAGAGGAATATAGGAAGTCTGCAAACTCCCTTATGAAAGAACTATATCAACCTAGAGGTCTGTAAACAATAAGGGTGATGCATTAAGACAACAGCATTAAGGACCAGGGTTTCACATGCATTAAATCTGTCAACCGATTTTGTCAGAGATTCCTAGATTCCACTGAAATACTGCAACAATTCCACCACCTAGTCAATTAGAACAATTACTCTAGTCCAAGGGTCACCAACCTTTTTGAAACTGAAAGCTACTTCACGGGTACTGAGCCATACGAAGGGCTATCAGTTTTAAATGCCCTCCTAAACTTTTCTAAACTTCATGTATAATAAACATGCTTCAAATGCCTTTTTTTATTTTAATTTTTTTTTTTACTAGAATTTTTCATTTTCAAATCTATATAAATGCAAGTGTGATTAAAGAAGAATAGCAACAGAATAAAATTCAATTTTAGACACTGCTCACTGGTGAGTTGTGCTATTTTTAGAACAGGTCTGCGGGCAACTCATATGGTCCTTGGGGGCATCCTGGGGCCATGCTCTAGTTCAGGGTTCTTCAACTCTGGACCTCGATTCCAAATCCAGGCCGTGTTTTCAATTCTCCCAGGTAGTTAGTTTAATAATTACTGATTCTGATTGGTCAGAGGCTTCACACCTGACTGACAAGTAAAGGAAGGCTGGAAAACCAGCAGGCTCAGACCTCGAGGACCGTGAGTTGAATAACCCTGCTCTAGTTGGTGACCCATGCTCTAGTTGGTGACCCATGATCTAGTTGGTGACCCATGATCTACAGTAGTTGGTGACCCATGGTCTAGTTGGTGACCCATGCTCTAGTTGGTGACCCATTATCTAGTTGGTGACCCATGCTCTAGTTGGTGACCCATTATCTAGTTGGTCACCCATGCTTTAGTTGGTGACCCATGCTCTAGTCGGTGACCCATGCTCTAGTCCCTACCTTGGTGGGGACTCTAGCCCTCCCCGTAGGGACTTTTGCACTACCTCACCTTAGGCACTCCAGTCCTCACCTCACAGGGATCTCTAGCCCACACCTCATCATAGGGATTTTTGCACTACCTCACCTTAGGGACTCTAGCCTCTGCCTCACAGGGATCTCTAGTCCTTACCTCACCTTAGGGACTCTAGCTTTTACCTCACCATAGGGACTCACAACCCCCCCTGTTCTCTAAAATAAATGAATAAAATAACTGATTAAAATACATACACTATATTGCCAAAACTGTTCAGGTGTTCCAATCATTTAATTCAGGTGTTCCAATCATTTCTATAGCACATGCTGAGGTGCGTAGTGTGCAGAAGTCACCAACTGTCTGCAGGGTCCATAGCTATAGGCCTCCAAACTTTGTGTGGCCTTCAGATTAGCTCAAGAACAGTGTATAGAGAACTTCATGGAATGGGTTTCCATGGCCGAACAGCTGCATCCAAGCCTTATATCACCAAGTGCAATGCAAAGCGTCAGATGCAGTGGTGTAAAACACACTGCCACTGGACTGTAGATCAGTGGAGATGTCTGGAGTGACGAATTTCTCTGTCTGGAAATCTGATGGATGAGTCTGGGTTTGGGGGTTGCCAGGAGAATGGTACTTGCCTGATTCCATTGTGCCAAGTGTAAACTTTTGTGGAGGGGTGATTATGGTGTGGGGTTGTTTTTCAGGGGTTGGGCTTGGCCCCTTAGTTCCAGTGAAAGGAACTGTTAGTGCTGCAGCATTCGCAGCCATTTTGTACAGTTTCATGCTCCCAACTTTGTGGGAACAGTTTGGGCACCTTCCTGTTCCAACATGACTGCTCACCAGTGCACAAAGCAAGGTAAGGGCATGGATGAGCGAGTCTGGAAGAACTTGACTGGCCTGTACAGAGCCCTGACCTCAACCTGATAGAACACCTTTGGGATGAATTAGAGCAGAGACTGTGAACCAGGCCTTCTCATCCAACATCAGTGCCTGACCTCACAAATGCTGTCCTGGAAGAATGGTCAAAAATTCCCATAAACACACTCCTAAACCTTGTGGACAGCCTTCCCAGAAGAGTTGAAGCTGCTATAGCTGCAAAGGATGGGCCTACTCCATATTAAAACCTATATACAGTGGTACCTCGGTTCTCGAACTCATTAGAAGTCGAATTTCATAAAAGTCAAACCAACCAGTTCGAAAAAAAGTGACCTAGAACTCGATTTGAATCTCAGAAGTCGAACCGTGAACACCGACCTAAGATGACTTGTACCTATAGGGAAATGAGTCACGCAGCACGTCTCTCAGTGGAAACAAAGGGTAAAGCTTCAGTCTCAGCCTCGCATTCGCTGTGATAGCATCGGGCATGTTTACACTAACTGAATGCATATATTTAGACAGTAAAAATACATTTAGACAATGGTAGACAGTAACAGTAATTATTATTATATAATACATTTAAAAATAAAGATTTCTTATTATTTGCATATTAATAATAAAGCATTAATACATTTAATTATAATAATATTGCCGTGCCAAGCGCGGGGATGGAACGTAGACAAAGGCACAGACGTCAGGGTATCGGGGAATACGGGGTTTAATTACAGGTAAGGCAGGCAAAACGCAGACAGACAATACAATGACCGGACTGGGGAAACAAACTGAAACGCGGACTAAATACAGAGGACTAATGACAACAACCAGAAACAGCTGATCACACGGGGATTCCACACGGGGTTAACGAGGGGGCGTGGCACACGGAAGGAGCAGACGATCGGAGCAGGACACATTGTATTTTTTTAACCTTACACATTGTTTGGATGCATTTATTTTCTTACTTTACAAATTACTGTTTTGATAAATGTGCTTAGATGTGTTTAGTAGAGTATATGCTCTTCATCCTGTTCATTTTGTGTTAAAATGTAAAAAATAAACACATTTAGGTGTAATTTCTGGGGGCCGGGAACCAATTAATTGATTTTCCATTATTTCTTATGGAGAAAATTCGATCAGAACTTGAACTGTTTAGGATTCGATCCGGAGTTCTGAACGGATTAAGTTCAAGTTCTGAGGTACCACTGAATTAAGAATGGGATGTCATTAAAGTTCATGTGTGTGTAGAGGCAGGCGTCCCAATACTTTTGCCAGTATAGTGTATATGTAATGAATTTCTAAGAGATCCATTCCCAATTAACATAAATAGATACAGAGAATTGACCTGTCTAGCTATAGAAAATGAAAATTACATTCCCAATATGCCATGACATTGTAAGAACTTGAGTGATAAGTATGACAGTAAATTATTATTATTATAGCATGTTTTCTACTATGGATATGGGATTTACCTCCAGGTATAGTAAGGGTTTGGCTCAGATACTCTGTCTAACCACTTATCCTGGACAGGTTTGGTGGTGTCCTGCAACCTATCCCAGACAGCAGAGTGCATGGCAGGGGTACATCCTACACGGGATGTGAGTGAGAATTAGGCAGCAAAACTCATTACACTTTTATTTACAAATGTACAGAAAGCACAAAGACATACACTCACCTAAAGGATTATTAGGAACACCATACTAATACGGTGTTTGACCCCCTTTCGCCTTCAGAACTGCCTTAATTCTACGTG